GCTGCTGTATAGGCTTCAACTACAATATTTCATTTACCGTATCTCCTTAGTCACCTGTTTCATTAATCATGTTTACCACTATTACATACTCATCCCGAAGACTGGAACTTCTACTGCAAGATTAACTCACGTGCCACTTTTGGCATCATGTTCCTCAAGAACTAAGAGACTGATTTTTTTTTTGAAAGCACAATAACACAAGCTCATATAAAAAGACTTTACTAAACAACCAGAGCACTACAATTTTCTTTATACTGTACTATAATTATTCTTCCCTCAAATTAATTCTCCCAAGTTGTCATTTAGCAGAGATGGTCCCTTAGGCCACGGTAGCATGTGGCCGTGATTCATGCTAACAAGGAATGTCTTGGCTGATGGGTCAGGTATGCCAGATGCGCAGATGACCCCTAGTTATAGTTACACAGTAAATACTGAAGATGCCTGACTTCCATTCCCTTCACAACAGCAGCACGGGACTTGATGACACCACATTATACAACTAAATTAGGTGTACAGGAGGGTGCAGTACCACAGGCTTGTCTTGTAGGCAAAGTTATAATAAAGGAAGAAAGTCTGAAGACACTATAAAGCAAAAATCCGATAGTTACAGTATCTCTAAATTGCTAATCAACAGGATATTACCCATTCTGGAAACTGCTGTTACATGATGTCAGCAGGTTCCTCTAGAGGCCTGGTCATGGACCGGGCCGCGGGGGCGTTGATCCCTGGAATAACCTCCAGGTAGCCATCTGTCTCACCTCCTTAGTTCCACTACTACTACTACTACCTCTACCCACACGACACTTCACCTGACTCCTGCCACTATATATACGCGTTTTCTTAGTTTTCTCTGTATTAGGACTGAAGAAGCCACTCGTGGCGAAACGTTTCCTTTAATATATGTCCTGAACTATACATGTCGTTTTCCACACCATACCATTTCCTCACAAGTAGGAGGCTTTTCTCCTAATTATCATTAGGTATCCTGGATGTGTGGATGCCATTTAATTAACGATAATGTTTTTATTTCTTATATCCTGCCCAAGATACCACTTTCAGCACGTCTGTCTTACCTACCAACCTGTTGTTTCTCCCTGGGCATTGCCCCTACAGCCAGTACCATACCAGGCCTCCTGGTTAGTCTTTGATATACCTTTGACGGCTTCAGCCAGGCTATTATAGCTGGCAATGGTGATAAGCTTAGGTATAAAAAGAATGAAAAACTCAAAGGGTCACTATATAAAAAACCAAAGAGGATCATCAAACAGAAGGAACAGAACACGTGAAACACTTTGGGAGTAATTATGCCAAGTGACCCTTCTTTCAAACAACAAAACCAAGATTCCGACAACCAGGATGATGGGATCGATAATGAGAACTTTCAAAACAAAGGAAACAGTACCAATGGTGACATTTCATACCGCTTGTGCTCTGTGAAAGTTAAGACACATGTGCAACATCTGGATATCTTTATTGTAGACGTTTCGCCATCCAGTGGCTTTATCAATATAGATTCTAGGACATAATTGGAAGACAGCAGAACTATATACAAAAGATGAGGTAATCAGTCCCTCAGCCTTGGAGTTCGTGTTGACAGCATCGTGGTGGTGGAGAATCTGGAGCCAAGGCAAGAAGACTGGCCAGATGTTGCACATGTGTCTTAATTTTCATATTGTCGGTATTTTATACCTTTCTTGAACGCTTGTGCTCTCTCATTTCGAATATTGCTAAGTGTTGACGGTCCCGTTCAGGGCAGAAGAGATATTAGAGCTGGAACAGATACAGGGATCGTTTACGGCCCGCATAGGGCAAATAAAGCATTTAAATTACTGGGAACGCCTTAAATATGCACTCAATGGAACGGAGGAGATGTGCATAATAATATATACCTAGAAATTACTCAAGAGGGCCTTGTCCCAAATCTACACACTGCCAAAACATACCGGAGTGAGAGATAGGGAAGTGCAAATTATACTCAGTGAAAAGCAGGGATGCAGTGGGCACCATAAGGGAACACTATCAACGTCCGCGTCTCCAGACTATTCAACATCTTACAAGAAAATATCAGAAACCCTGCTGGGACCAGTGTAGAAGTCTTCAAGAGGAAACTGGACAAGTCTTTTTACCAGTTGCCAGCAAGTTGCCTTACCTTGCTTTTGCTAGATTTTTGATGAGTTCCAAGAGTTTTTCTACTCCCAGAGCCCAATCCTTGCGCCAAACTCGTCTGTTGCTTGCCTGGTCAGTCAGGTTGTTGCTGCTGGTGACCCGCTGACCCACATATCTATCACAGCCTGACTGATCAAGCTGTGTACCACATTACATAAAAAAGTATGCTTATTCGTGTATTTATAAAATATGGGGGCGGTAGGAGAAGCCGAATATTCAAATAGGCTGAGGAAGAAATCCTAATAATTTTCCTCAACGCCCACTACTACTCCACGATGTATGTCCCCACAACTACACTAGAAGTGGACTATACAAGCTCAACAAAGAATATTTATTCCCTACAGAGGAATAAGATCGAATAAAAATGATCCAAAATGGATGAACAAAAGAAAATGGAATTTTTAGGAACAATAGAGGGTC